CTTCGTTTGTCTTGGATTAAAACGAAACGGGGCAAAATGCTGTTTCGTCCCGCCGTTTTCGTTCGCAGAAGTAAATTGCCTTGGGCTCCGAATGCTGTAAAATTGAAATTGAATTTCGCTAGGTCGACGTTAATTAACACCCTGTTCATTCCGTCCAAACGCGGCCAACCTATTTCTCGCTTAAGGAAGAGAGAAGAAAAAGGGAAAAGGAACGAAGATGAATTCGGAATAAATCGTGTCCCTTCGTGTATACGTGCATACGCGCGCGTTCAGCCTGGGAAATATGGCGTCGACACATAACGGCTGTTTTGTTTTCACAGTTTAACCCCGTTTTTCGCTTCTTTCTTCGCTTTTCTCCTCGTTTTGCTTCTTTTTACACATTCGCGTTCCATGGTCGAAGATTTGCTGCAGTTTCCAGGTGGAAAGGATGTGGGAACGCGTGGCAATGATTTAAAATGTTTTTATTCCTCGTATATGATTTTTAGTTTTGCGAGAGCGAAATTTTTGTCCGTTTCTTGTATCAGCTTGTATTCATCCGATTTGTCGTTTTAATTTTCGTTTTAATTAGAACGCAAAATGTTGTAAAACGAAATTTAAATTGTTAAGCAAGAATTTGGAAATTGGATTGAATTTGGTTGGCACTTTTTGGGGTACCAGTTGGTTCGACAGGAATATGAGGATTAAAGAAATTTAATATTTTGTTTAAAGGGAAATTATATTATTGGATGAGCATAAGGGTAGCTAATTAGAATTTGTTGAACATCATTCGAGAGGTTTCTAATCGTTCTAAGTCTCATCTCCTAGCCTGAACTTTACTTGGATCCACACACCTACTTAACTCGTTAATTCTACTCTGCTCCATATCCTGTCTGGCGAAACCAATCAAACACTCGGTTTGAAAATCAATTAACTTGGCATAAGTTAGTTCGTAATTACAAGTCCTGTACTTCTAGATCAAGCACCGTATTAGAACTCGACAATTATTAGACGTGCATAGTATTATATTACATTATTATATCACTGTCAAAATAACAATCTAAAAAGATGACGAATTATAATAAACCTTATAAATTGGCCTTACAAAATACACTCAAACGACTCTCCTTACTTCAATATTTCATTTAATGCATTAAATCTCTGCAATATGAATTTTCTTTGATCAATAGAAAATAAAAATTTGCAAATAATTGTCAAAATAGATAGTAACCAAAAAATCGTGGAACACAGTGTTATCCTTATTACTGTATTTAATTATCACTACTAAACAAATTACAGTTTCCAATGTAGGATTAAAAATAATTTTAAATTGATGTAAAAAGTCACCAGTTCCCTAGTTATACCAATAACAAAAATTGGCAGATTCTTCAGGATTAATTTACAGAAGGACGTTATCGTCATTTCCAAATAGTTAATACACAGTTCAAACACAAACTGCTCGAGGAACACGAAGCTCGAGGACTGTTCAGCGAGGTTCCGGTCGATGCCTTCACGATGGGAAGCAGCCACGTCCAGCCGGCGGAAATTGGCCCCGGTGGAACGTAAACAGGAAGTGCAAAGCGCGTAAAGGTCGGATCGAGACGTCTACTCCTGCCACGGGCCACACCAGGGCTGCCGTGGAACGTGGCCGCTGGTGAAATTGTCCCACGATCTATCCAGCGTGTTTTATACGCCGAATAACGTCTATCGATTGACACACATTCCGTCTCCATCCTTTGCTGACGTCCACGTGCCGTGTGGACGACGTGTTCTGCTCGGCTTCCACGCTCCGTCTCTTTTTATCCAGAAGATCCCATCCCAGAGCCGGAGTGATCCAATGGTCGCGAGATTGGATTTTTTGCGATTTATACGGCACCGATTAAAGGTTCCATCGAGCCTACGTGAGCGTTACAACCACGTCGAGGACTGTCCGTGTCGCTGAGAGAATCGGTGTTCCAGGGGAACACCGACGGAATCGTAGGACGAAATCGTTCCAGTCTAAGAGGATAAGATTGGTCTTCGTGTTCTGATTAATAGCTTAGAATATGTACGGAAGATTCATTTGAATGGAGGACCAAAGATGAGGAAGTGGAAGTGATTTTCAGGAGAATCAAATAGAGAAGAGAGGAGTCTGATGCCAGTCCTGAGATTAGGGCTCGGCTCTTCTGTTCGATGACGCAGAGGGGACCAAATGAAAGAATATTGGAAGGAAAGGAGAAATTCAATTACCACTTTAAATTCGCAATATTTTCTGCGCCGTTATCGATTTCCTTCGTTTTGTATCGACGAGAAGAAAGGAAGTTGGATTCTTTAAATAGGTACTTTCTATCACTGCTTTTGAGAAAATGTTTGATAAGAAAGGTTGAATCCTTCGCTAATTTTCTGTTCTTCGCGTTACTCGGGTTCCACTTCACAGTGTTTGCTTCCACGTTTTAATTAATCTTCCAATATGATTAATTTTCCATGCCTCACATGTGCAAGAAATCTGTTTTTAATGCAGGATTGCCTGTCTTGATTGGCTCCATCTATATCTAACAATGAGAGTCAAAACTTAGTCAAATTTTCACAAACTAATGGGTTCCAGGTAATCCTCTACTCATAAAGCCAATCAAAAAGTAATCGAATCTTCACCAACCAAAAGAATTCACTCACCCCCGATAGATACCAAAGAACATCATCAACAACACAATCAAAACTTGCTAAAATCCTCACTGAATCCAAAGAATCCACCCATCCCCTATACACCCTAAAAACATGATCAGCAAACACAATCAAGACCTAGCCAGGCCTATACAGACCAAAAGAATCCATTCAACCCCTGTAGACCCTAAAAACACGATGAACAAACACAGTTAAGGCCTAACCAGACCTTGACAGGCCAAAAGAAGTTATCCAGCCCCAAGTCCTGCCAAAGAACACGATCCCTTCGCACGAAATACTCGCTGGAAGACGTTGTTAACCCGTTTCCCACTTCGACATGGTCTCACGGGTGTTCAG